GTTTTTGTCCACCAGAGAGTTGTACGGCACCTTCACCGATGACTGTGTCAAACCCCTGATAGGAACAATTGGGATTTAGGTTCTTTACGCACAAGAAAGCTTCTCGAGAAAATTTATAAAAGCTCACACTTGGAGGGTTTCTATTATGTTATTCTCTATAGTAATGTAAGAGATGTCACTTTAAATTGTTTTAGAGACGAGTAATTTAGAAATGATGCAAGTAAATATCTACACTAATATTCCATAAAACATTCAAATTATTTTCAGTTGTCATTTTCAACCTTCAAGGTAAGTCTTGTACTTTGAAAAGGCTTATATGTGCGGTTATACCGTTATTAAATACTCAAAGATCACTAACATCGCTAAGCTTTTTAATAAATTCCAGCGCATTAGCCATTCGACAAGCTTCCTCTACGTCTTCATCTGACAACGTATCGTCTCCCATTCTAAAATAACGATTCTTTTAAAATTTTAAATTTTCCATGTATCTCCAGAAACGTCGTTTTTCAACCTACAGAGTTTTTTTGCCTGACCTGACATTTTCTGCCACTGTAGCAGAGAAAATAACAGGGTCTTGTTGCACAACGCCAATGGCGTTTCTGAGCCAGCTAATGTTATACTCGCGAAGTGGGATATCATCAATACATACCTAAATATAGGTAAACTACAAGGTCATGTAGAGCAGATCATAAGTTAAGAATAACGGATTATTTTGTGCCAAAAATAAACAAAAATATCAATGTAATAAGAAGTAAAGAAGTGAAGGCAGTCAAAGAATGAGTTTGGAAAAGCAAATCCAAAAAGAAACTTTGTTTTTTGCAGGCCACTTAACCGCTGTTTTGGAATGTTACGAAAATATGTTGCCATTATGCTTTTTTTATATGAAGGGCGCGTTGTATAGCGTGGGTAGGTCGTGTGCCACAAAACAAGTACTGAAGATTTTTTTAGAGGTGTGAATATGTACGGAGTATGACCACAACGATGTGATACCGCTTAATTTGCTCCATTAGTAGACAAAGAGATTAAATGTTCCTGAAATCAACTATTCTATAGTTTATGACTAAGGTTCCCTCAAGTCCAGGAACATGAGACTGCAAAAACTTATTGAAATTTTTTAAAATAAATATGCATATAATTGTATAATGAATAAAATAATAATTGACTTTTT